TGATTTGATATGGAATTAATCAAATTAATCCGTTTGGGTTCCTTGATCTCATCGATTACCATCTTTACGTTTATTTACCAGTTTCAGTCATCTAATGAAACGAAAGCGTAAATAAACCTAACATACATCTAATGCATGGTGGGATGATCATGTCCTTTCCTATTCGATCCATTCGAGCCAAAATGGATCTATGCATATGTACGTGATAAAACAAATAGTAGAACTACTTCTATTACATTTATTCTATCTACCCGTACAAGCACAGGCCTTCGAGATTACAACTTGTAAAATTACCCACACATGCGTGGGCCTTTGTCATCGAACGGTCTCCACCTTGATCTAATCTCTAACGATACAAAATTTAAAATTTTACAAATTTCATCTCAAGAGACTCGCAGGTCTCGATAAATTACATTTCTTCAATCATATTGAAAACATAATTAAACATCCATTCATTCATTCAATCATATTGAAAATGAAAACATCCATTCAAACATAATGAATATGAGGCTCATGATCATCCCTAAAACATTCATCTAATGAAATGAACATAAAATATCAATTTATGAGTCACACGACTCGTGTGAGGGTCACACGACCCGTGTGATCTTATCACACGACTCGTGTGAAAAATACGAATTGAAAATCAAAATTTTTCCCAGACTCACACGACTCGTGTGGCTCGTCACACGACTCGTGTGAGCTCACACGACTCGTGTGACAAGGTCACACGACTCGTGTGAAAATCACGAAGCTAAAATCAAAATTTTTCTTCATGCCACACGACTCGTGTGACAAGGTCACACGACTCGTGTGGCTTAAAAACGATTTTTAATTTTATAATTAATATTTTTATCATATAAAAAATTAATTATATTGCTTATCTCATAAGTCTTAACAAATCAAAATCTGTTTTAAAGACGATAACCGTGGCTCTGATACCACTGTTGGGTTCGATAGTACCGTACGGGCTGTACGCAGCGGAATTTAAAATTTTTAAAGTAAGTATTTATCGTATAAATACAACACCCGTACATACTAATTGCGAATTAACTGATCGTCATCTTTAAAACATGCATCATATACAAATTTTGATTTGTTACTATAAAGTAAATACTAGTAAAAATATTTACCGAATGTCTTGAACTCCTTCACTATTGATGATGGATGAGGGAATCGGTTCCCGGTTGTAACTTCAACGACTTGAGGTTACTCGCTAGAGGAATCCAAGTGTCTTCCCTCTAAACGTATCCACCCTATGAAGCCCGGTTCCGACGACTTTCCTTCGCTAGTAGAAAAGACTCGGTTTTCTTGTATAGGAATATTTATGAATTTTATTTGGGAATTTTAAGAACTCTTTCTTGAAGTTTTATGAAGAACACTTTCTTCTCTTTCTAACACTTAGAAATTTAGGATCAAAAACTTCACTTAAATGCAAAACCATTTTGCACATATTTATACTAAACATTTTAGCATAAAATAATCAACATTTAGTAATATTAAATAAAATCAAATTTTATTTAAATAGTATTTACTAACTTTTGACTTTGAAAATAATAAGATATGTTAAGTAGTTCAAACAACCATCAACAACCATTTTATTATAATCATATTTATTATTTTAATCCTTAAATCATATTTAAAGATATAAATAATAATTGGATAATAAATCTTGAGAATCTTTCTCAAGACTTTATTATTATATCATTTTCCCAATATTATAATAATCATATTATTATTATTTTGGATTTTTGAAATTTAAAATCCTATTTTAAAATTCAACTTTATTAATTTAGTAATTACCTTAATTACTAAAGTAATATCCAAAATGTAATTAATCAATCTTATTGATTAATATATTCCTTTAATTGATATCTAATCAAATTAGATATTTATCAATTAATTCTAACCATTAGAAATACAATCTTTACCTTTGTTCATAATTAGTGTGACCTTTTAGGTTCACCTTAATACTAGTAGTGGGTTTACAACACTTTGTAATTTGAGTTAAATCTTATTAACTCTTATTCATGAATTAACCCTTTAATTTATGAACCCACATATCATGGTAACACCTAGCAAGTAGCATGAATCTAGTATTAAGTGAATAGCGAGTAAACCTATTCCGATTACAACTCCATACATGTAAAATCCTTTCGACATCTAATTTCCCGATTAAGTCTTGGGTATGATTTTGTCGAAACCCAAATTGACTTAATAACTATGATTCTATTTCATGTTTATTAACCCGGTTATGAATCACTATTCATCTCTGCCTTGGCCAAGGACTTTGGATTAATAACTATGAAACACATAGGAAATTCACTTATCTTCATAAGTGTCGAATCCTTTATTGGCCACTAACAAACTTCCATACATATTAACATAATACCCAACTTATCCCTTTAAACGATAGTGCTAGCTACCAAAAGGATAAATCAAAGTAGAATGTAATATGCACAAAGTTACCATTGTGCCTCAAGTCTTAGGATTAGTCATGTACTATTGTAACATGAAAATTCTTATTCGACTGAATAAATTCTTCATTAAGAATTTTCATACGGTCATGTTCAGTGAACTTGTTCTCTAACAAGCACCCACATAAATGTACTTACGTCTTACGCTAATGTTGATGGAATGCAACATTCTTGTCCAACAAGCATACAAACTATGTGCAAGTCTTTTATGGATTATTCGATATCCCATCTCGAAACATCCATCGACTTGGAACTGTATTTAAGATCACGGCTTTCAAGGTATGTTCCATGATCACCATCTCTATGCGCAACCATACCTTATAACCATAAGTGATCTAGGGATTTTATCTTAAGTGCAATTATAAGATAAATGCTTTCTCTTAAGATAAAGAAATGCCTTATTAATAATATAATTCCAATAGATTTATATTTATAAGTAGAATACGTCCAACTAGATTGGAACGCCGGGTATCCTACTCTAACATATACATCCAAATATGTTGATCTTCTGTGCACTCATCTGGGAGAGTACCTATAGTTCTCTGACTATTGGAGGCCAAGAGGTCACACAAGGAGCGTCGTTCAGTCAAGTTCTATTCGAGGAGGACTACGTCCCATCCCAGAGTACACAGTCACACAGAGCGAGGCATCAACCCACTGCCAACATTAGTGGAGGTAGAAGACGTCGTGACCGCGAACGACAACAACGCCCGTTCGGATTCGTCTAAGCTCGGAATTGAGTTATGTTTTTTCCTATACGTAGCTAACAAACCCCTCTATTCAATGATTCATACATAACCAAATTATTCTTGAAATCATATTCTCTCAAAGCTCTTGACTTACCCATTAAACGTATTTCGTGCGACTTAGTTTTTTGGGCCTGTTCGGATTCGTCCAAGCTCGTAGTTGAGTTCCGTTTCTTCCTATGTCGCCAACGAACCCGCCTACACAACCATGATTGCCCAGTAAATTTTTGGATTAAATCTATTCCTCACGGGGCTAAATAATTAACAAATCACCTATTAACAAATCCTCTATGAATCATCTATTTATATAATTGGTGACTTGTTAATTATTTAGCCCGAAAATAGACTAGGCAATCATGGTTGTGTAGAATGGTCCCTTGACGACATATAGGAAGAAGCAGAAATCAATTTCGAGCTTGGACGAGTCCGAACGGGCCCAAAAAGAAAAGTCGCGCGAAACACGTTTAATGTATCGGTCAAGAGCTTTGGGAGAATATGATTTCAAGAATAATTTGGTCATGCAAGTATCATTGAATAGAGGGATTCGTTAGCTACGTGTAAAACGGAACTCAATTCCGAATTCAGACGAGCCCAAACGAATCCAAAACACAAAATACATACTGCACATTAATTTTTTTTTCATTAATTTTAAAATATAAAACGTATTATCAAAATACGTTTTATAAATAATTATTTATAAAACGTATTTTGATAATACGTTTTATTTTTTAATTATTTATTAAACTTTCTTAATTATTTATTAAACGTATTATCAAAATACGTTTTATTTATTAAATTTTTTTTATAAAATGTATTATTGAAATACGTTTTTCAATTATTTAAAAAAATATTTTTAAACGTATACGTTCTTTTAAAAAAATTAATTAAAAAAACGTATTATGAGAATATGTGCTTTTCATTTTTGTCCACAATTTTTTTTTCTTCTTATTTTTGTCCAGTTATTTTTTTATTTATATATATATATAGGGAAATTTTCACGCATCCTACATGATTTTAACTTATATACAACTCTACCATATCTATATTAATAATTGTGTCTTTACCTAAAACACCATATTTATCTATATTTAATGTCATCATTTACCATAAACCTCCATCCCCTTTTTATGGGATTGATTAGGAGAGAAAAATGAAAATATGCTTATAATAACACCTTGTACGTTTTTAATAGAGAGAGATAAAAACATGTATTATAATTCACGCAGGTGTCCAGTGGGTATATGTTGCGTTTATGTTAGTATATATTCAGTATATGTTGCAATGAAAAACATGTCTTCAATCAAAACTTTTTTTTTTTTTTTTTTTTAAAGTGTATATATAATTTATAAATCTATACCAAAAAATCTTCTAATATACTGAACATATATTCCATATACACACAACATATACCGAAAAATTTACAAAAAAATCTTCAAATATACTGAACATATCTCTCTATACACACCACATATACTGTCTGTCTATACGCGCAACATCCAACATATACTGCCGTAAACATATACTGTACATATACTATAGATATACTGTACATTTACTCCAAAAAAAACCTGAAAAACAAAAGATACAAAATAAATCTTCATGAATAATAAATCCACCAAATCAAATTACAGCCTGTTTCCCCTCATAATTGAAACGATAAAATTTTGGGAGATCCCATAATTGAAATATAATGTCGGTACTTTGTGGCTAATATAATTGAAAATCCCAATCTGTTCAATTTTGCGCCATACTATCTGAGCCTGCGAGCAAAGTTCCGTCACGCCCGGCCTTCACGCCGTCTGAAATCCCAGCGACCGCCATGGCCACATAGATTTTGGAAGAAACGCCACCAGCGACCGACATGGAACCTCAAATAGAATTGATGTTGCGGCCCTAGTGCCAGTCGGCGCCAAGGAAACGGAGCCTTGCCGGTGGAGTGGCGCAGCCACGGTAAAAGGGAATAGGTGGTTTGGGAGAGATCGTAAAAAATCTTATTCTGTTTAAGATTAACTGGTAGCAGTTTTGTTGCAAAAATTAAGGAGAAAAGATTTTAATAAAACATTCCATATTTGACATGTTGACTTAAAAATTAAACATTAGATATATGTGCAGTTATTTTGTGTTGAAGTTGCATTTAACTCAAAAAAAACTAACTGCAATATAATTATTATATGAAGTGATAAGTGTAAATTCTTCTATAAACTACCCAAAAAATAAGGCCTAATTGACCAAACTGATATCGTATAGCTCTTTTACATGTATATAAATCTGATAACCCAAATAATTAGGAAACTACCACATAAAAAGAAATTCCTTTTCTCTCTCCATTTATTCACCATCTCTGCAAGCACACACGAGCACAATTTCAGAAATTTACACCAAACATAATCACAAAAAAATTCAAAATCTAAGTTTTAATTTCATTTCCCTTGCACGAATACTATCCAACTAAACCCACCGTCTTGCACGCGTTCACCATCGGCCGTCAGAAATCGGTCTCGGAGCCGATGACGACGAATAACTTGGCGAAGCCGCGGGGGTTTTTCTGCAGCACGAAAACGACGAGCCGTGCGACTTGACAGAAACGCCGCCGACCTAATTTTTCCCAATTCTCGAACAGGACATGCCGAAGTCGGAGAGGAAAACGCCGTCGCTTTCATTGCTCTCGCCGTTGGAGGATGGCGTTTTGGAGGTCGGCGGCGAATTGGGAATTGGAAGAAAATTTTTAGAGAAATTGGAGAGATTAGGTTTTGGAAAGATTTGGAGAAGAGAAAATGAGAAGGAGGACAAAGTTGTTTATATATATTTAATATGGAGAAGAGAAAATAGCAGGGAAGAAAACAGGCGAGAAAGAAATAAGAACACGATAATTGTGTATATATCGTATATATGCAAATATCCTGATTATGTTTGCTTATAAAGTATGATTATAGTATATATGCAATTATTTTTTATTTTGGTGCTCTTCACCAAATACCAATCACCCTGGCCTAAGACTCTTCTGCCCTCGCTCAATTGTTGCGTAGCCT